CCAAACAACCATCCATACATCCATCCATCAATCCATCTATGCATACATACATATACACATGCATTTATTCATTTATCCATACAGAGTTGTTACTTAATCTTTAATTTCTTACCAATCTCCCCAATGTAATTGATCATAAAACAAACCAGATTTAGGACAATTAAAATAAAAATGATTTATTTAACTTGTCATGCCAATCTATATTTCACTGTTGTCTCCAATATGACATCCTAAATACGATTTATTCGCCTTGGATCACTTCATGTATAAGTACGTAGATAAATAAAGTTATTTGTGGTTAATCTTAAATAGGAAATTGTTCACTCAAACAAATGGATGATAATTACTTAAAATGTATGTAATAAAGACATTCAATTATTAATCAATTTAAGATTTACTAGTACCTTTTCTAATCTTTCAAATTAAAGTAAATATGTGCATGTAACAAAATCAATGGAAAAGTATCAGTGGGACATACATAGTGCTGTGATGTGTGCTACTGATGTCGATAGATTTAAACAGTATAAGTAGTAGTTGTAGTAAAATACCTGGCAGAAAGTTAGGAAGATAGAAGAAAAGAGGACGAAAACAGTGAATGATTACTGTGGAAACGAAAGAACAGTAAAGTTTGAGACAATTGATTGACATTTGTAAAAGGAATAGTCAAGTTTAAGACAAGTGACTAACATTTTGCAAATTAAGTATTTACTGTATAGTTCTCAGATTTTACTAAGATGTTCTGTAATTTTGTATTCAAAGACATTTGATTGTCCCCACTGGTGTTCTCGTCCATAACACTGCCCTTAGGTTCTATGTTCGGAATTACAATGATTATTATTCAAAACTTAATAAAATCATTATTGAAGTTTTAAAAAATATGACAACCAAACGATTGTCGATTTTAGATTGATATCTTGAATGGATCAATGTTAGACCACCACTGAAAATCTGGAAACAGTGGACAGCCGTTTCGTCCTAATATGAGACTCCTCATCAGTGCGCAACTACAATCCCGCACGTGGGAATCGAACTCAAAACCCTCTGTGCCGAGCGTGAACGCTTAAACTATAGACCACTGAGCTGATGTTGATATCTAGCTTAAACTAATTCGTGATATTGCTCGACCGTCTAACATTGCCTTCAGTGAGTAACTGTGCACCGCTGAGGAGTCTTGTACTAGGACGAAACGACCATCCAGCGCTTACATGTTTTCCATGGTGATTTAACTTAAATTGACTCATGAATTTAACTATTAAATTTGAATATGATCATTAGTCTAAGGTAATCTACATTACAATAGACTGTTTTTCGATGTTAATGAAAACTTCTTATTCAATAACTGTACAACGTTTTCTAGTACCTAGTGAATAAAATCATGCCATTTAAGTGTCATCCGAACAGGACATGACCAAATTTTCCTTGAATATTCATAATTTACAACAATAATTTATCCGATGGGTTTTGTGGATATTATAGTAATTCCAATGATTAAGATCATGAGTCAGTTGAAGCTAGACCACCATGGAGTCCCACAATAGGACGAAACGGCCGTCCAGTGCTTCCAAGTTTTCCATGGTGGTCTAGCTCCAACTGACTCATGATCTTAATCATTGAAATAATTTATCCCTTTGTAAATTAGACCATTGTGTATATTTTGTTAGTTGTCTTTCAAAGTTTTAAACGATAGACATGACCATCCTATAGGAAGTCATCATTTAATTTAAGCAAACTTTAAGGTGTATTACTCTTACATTATTCCTTGTCCAAGCTGTACTTAACAAATGAAAACACAAATACATTAAGAAGTACACTAAGAAATTCAATAATTATTTTCGCTTATGAAACATAATAGTTGTTATTCTATGAAAGAAAACTTCAAATTTAACAGCCTATATCAGTATCTCTATTTCAATAATTATAACATGTTTATGCACTGCTAAGTAAAGCCAACAATAACTTTAGCAAAACTTCATGATAGTGGAATATATCTTTATTTGAGATCAGACGGAAATTACTGAATATATATTCGATGATGAATGCGTACTGTCAGTGAAATAGTTGAATCTAGAAATGCAAATCATCTGATTACGACTTAGTTAGTTTAAACGTCATATGTTTTGAATCCCATTTGCAGTTATAGATGTTTACTCCTGAAAGGTCTCACATAAGAACTGCACAATTTTTCAATGTATTTCTCGGTTATTGAATGATGATGCCATTGGAATTACTTTGTAATAGAACTTAACTTAAAAACAACTAGTTTTCCTTTTTCAAGTTGGTTTTTGTTTCTTTTCTAAGATATTTCACTTCATTATTTTACTTACAAAACTATTATACATTATACGACTACTAATAAACTTTATTACATGTTAGTTTAGTGAAAAGGAGAGTGTTAAATTTGATGTAAAGTTAATATCGACTAATATTTCGTGAATGCCATATCAGTAACATTCAATTATCTCCGAAAACTTCTTATGTTTATAGTAATCATGTGTTTACCAATGACTCGTTTTGAGAATCAGTTCTCGGAGTTCTAATAGGAAGTTGTGACCAATGTCGTTCAACCGTGTTGGGTGTTAGGTATTTAAACACTAACAACACTAAAGAACGATTATACAATATAATAAATCGATTGAAGTTAGATGTCAGCCCAGGGGTATGAATGCTAAAAGCTCACCCGTGAGACCTAAAGGTTTTTCGTTTGATTCCCAACAGACTGGTGGATATACATTACTGAAGGAACCCATACTAATTTGAAACAGCTAATCGATGAGTTCTGATATTCAATAGTTGTTCTACTAAGGTCAATTTTCAATAAAAGACTTCAAATCTATCAAATCTACTTGAATTCGGGCGTTTTCTTATCATCATTAGCCTTTATGCAGTTAAACTGTAGCTCGAAATCGAATAGTTAACACAGTATCCTATAAATGAGTCATAATTGTGATTTCAATTGAAGCATTTTAGTAGAATATTCATTACTTAAAAGAAGTAAAAAGATAAGTTCATTTTAAATTAGTTCAGTTCACATTTGAATTTATATAAAACAATCCATTGGAGTCTTTATCATTTAGTCAACATTTTCCTATCAAAAACTTAATAATCTCCACAACCCCTATACTAGTAATTAACATGTGCTCACTAGTGACTAGCTTCGTGAGGGAATTCTCAGAGTTCTAGTGAGAAGCAGTGACCAGTGGAGCTAATATAGATCGGGTAGAGACAGGTATCTACCTCAGTACAATGGAAGATGATCACGTAATTTCGTGGATTGGTTGAGATTAGATATTAACACCAATGGATGCCGGCCAGCTAAGTGGTCCGGTAGGTTAAGAGTTCGCGAGCGAGAACGAAGGCCCTGGGTTCGAATCCCACGAGCGGGATCGTGGATGCGTACTGCTAAGGAGTCTCACAATAGGAAGAAACGGCCATCCAGTGCTTCCAGGATTCCAAAGGTGGTCTAACATCAATCGTTTCATGATCTCGATCAAAAAATTAATAATCACCACAACGCCTATAACAAAAATCAAATCAGTTGTCAGTGATACAATGAAATGAGATTATACTTTTAAAATAATCAATTACCGGTTTGTTATAATGTATTGTTACTTCATCTAATATTAAATCTTAAACTAGACAATGAAAGAGTAATTGTAAATCACTCTAAACGAACAAAATATGGATTTCCACCTCAAATTTTCACAAAAGTAGATGATCCATTCTTATTATTGTAGTCATCAGCAACCTCATAAAAAATCATAAGTTGAAAATTATTTCCAAGCCCCTGGTTGTGAAGGTAGTAAAAGTTTATTCAAAAACTGGTTCTTTGGTTAATTCAAACAAAGCCTTAGTACTACCAAAAATACAGATGAATTACAGATAGGAAATTTCTCAGTTAGTAAACTGTTGAATTTCTAAAATTTGATCATAGGTACCATTAGAACACTCCATGTGTTTTATAAAACGATTGAGTAGGCAATTTAGAGTTTAAAAATAGGTCATTAAGTAGAGATTGCAAATCTGTTGATCAGGCTGTAAAATTTCATTAACTGAGATGGTTAGAGCATGTTTTACATACACCTAACCGTTGTCTACCTTGACAAACAATATTAGCTAGTATAAGATTAAGTGAGAAGAAATCTATTAGCGGCTAGTTTGAGTCATGTTGATAGATACAGACTACCTGATCGGGAATTAACTAATGATGGTAATCATTAATTGAAGACGTTGAATGATATGGTTGAGAACCAGTCACAAAGTCATAGATGGACTTGCTTCTTATGTTTCTTTAGGTCTCGAGTTCTGGTGTTTCTTCATACATAACTTTTCAATCCGTCTCTTCAACCCATAATATATGTAACTAGTTTTTTTCATTATCATTGTTACAATGAATATCCCGAATTCTTTAATATTCACCTTGTTATTTTACTATTGTTGAGCTTATAGGGATCGGCAAATTGGGTGAGCGCATGTATTTGTCCCATGCTGTATGGTGATTTTGACTGGCTAACCGATGTAATATGACTGTTAAAATAGTTTTTAGTCATACAGATGACAATGAAATATCATTTGATTCAGTCCTTTAGCATATTTCTCACTAATTAACAAATTTCGTCAAAAATGAATTTGGAGTACGATACTATAGAGTTATTTGTGTACCATTCTTGTTAATTATCAAATGAGATTAAAAAGGCCATGGAATGTTTTAAGACCTCCAGTATTCTTTTGTGTTTCTTAAGCGGATCACTTTACTATCATGAAAGAAGTACCTTCGATTTGAATCCCATTCATGGATCGTGGATGCGCACTGCTGACGAGTCCAGTACTAGGACGAAACAGCCGTCCAGTTCCTTCAGGTTTTCAATGGTGGTCTAACACTGATCGATTCATGATCTCGACAAAAAAATAAGTCAATAACCGATTGAATTTATGAAAAGAAGGTATACTTTTAGTACTAACTTTAATAGTATTTTCTTCCTCTTTCTATTGCTACATTTTAGAAGATCAAGATACTGATCCATTTCTATTAACCAAAAATGTAACACTTCAGAGAAATACAGATATTCGCACGTATTATAATGTCGGAGTTTATTTGGGCAGGTTAGTACTAATTGTGATTTATATATAAAACATATTATCCATTAATATCTCGTGTTTTGAAAGTTAATTGTCATCCAATTATTTTGTGGATTATAATAAGTGTTTTATTATCATTCGACTTACATACTTAAGCCTGTTACCCCCAATAGATCATAGGCCGCCGACCAGCATTCTCCAACCCACTCTGTTCTGGGAATTCCTTTCTAGTTCTATCCAATTTTTGTTCATTCTTCTCATATCTGTCTACGTTTCTCGGAGTAATGTGTTCTCTGGTCTTACTCTTCTCCTTTGGCCTTGAGGATTCTAGGTGAGGGCTTGCCTTGTGGCGCAGTTGGGTGCTTTTCTCAATGTGTGTCTTATCCACTTCCAGCGCTTCTTCCTAATTTCGTTCACCAGTGGAATCTGATTTGTTCTCTCGCACAGTAGGGTGTTGCTGATAGTGTCTGGCTAACGGGTCCAAAGTATCTTGCGTAGACAACTGTAAATAAACACTTGTATCTTCTGGATGACGACTTTCGTAGTTCTCCAGGTTTCCGCCTTATGTAGTAGAACTAGTATTATCTGACGCTAATCAGTAATTTACATTCGTTAGTTCAAAGTAATTTGAATGATAAAAAATATTTGTCTCTATGTTGGACACATTTAATGGTGTAACATTGTCTGTGTTGAATCATTATTTGATTGAGCGACTTGATTCATCTTTTTGGTTTAACTACAGTAGTTGGTCTGACAGAATAATTAAACTGATTGGAAATAGATTAAGAATTGACAAAATACTAGGAAACAAGTTACTATAATTGAGGCCATTAAAATAATATTGACTTTTTTTGTAGATTATGTAGGCTGTACTCATCACAGACTGATTTCAGTTAGACTACTGTTGAAAAACACGGAAAAAATCTAGATGTGTTTCATGCTTGTATGGGACTCCTCAGGAGTTCACACTCATAAACATACTAAAATAATTTCATAGAGCTCATTTAAATTTCAAGCGTAATAATGTTGTACAGAAGATTAATAAAGGGTTTATAATTAATTTATCCATTTCAGAGTACGTAACACTACCAAAAGAGTAAATCTATATTTTGACTGAAATCTAAACCTAGGATTACTGATAACATAGGAACTATGATACAGTGGGTGAATGGAAATTATTTTTTCCTTTTTGCCGCACTCCTCGTAATGCAGTTTGATGGTTTCCGTAATTTATGTCCTATCCACCTCTAACTCCTTTTTCTAAATTCCTCCTCAACTCGAAGCTGGTTTGTTCTCTCTCACAGTAGGCCGTTGTTGATGGTATCCGGTCAACGGACATTGAACATCTTGAATAGACAATTTTTCATAAATACTTGTACTTCTTCGATTATGGTTGTGGTAGTTCTCACAGTTTCATCTCCGCACAGTAGAACTGTCTTGACATTCGTATTTAAGATTGTGACTTTGATAATGTCTAACAATTGTTTTGAGTTCCATATGTTTTTCAACTGTAGGAATGCTGTCCTTGTTTTGCCAGTCCTTGTCTTTACGTAAAACACTTATTATTATAATCAGAGAGGGGTTTTGTGGATATTAAAGCTAGACCACAATCGAAAACCTGGAAGCATTCATGTCGTAGATAAAGATCACAATCAGTATAGGTGGTGTCATGGAGACTGTTGAATATTTTAGTTTACATCACTGACGGACTAGAGATACGCAACCACTGGAGACCAGAAAGCGCTCGATAAATGTTACATCTTAATGTATAACTCCTCAGAGGTGCAAATCGACGACCCTCCTATGAATCTTTTGAGTAAATCTACCAAAATAACGTCGTTAATACTAATATTTAGGGTTTTGAACGACACAAGTTATTCAAACTACATTAAGATAGGATTGTAAATACTTTACAAGTCAACATCTAGTAGGCTTTTTTTCTAAAAGCTACATTAACTTGGAAAAAAGTAATTTATACGCTTACCTTTATTTTTCATTGGTATATAGGAATGAAATTTCTAAAGCTTATGTACACTTCTAAGCAAAGTTGGATGGTAGCTAGCAGTAAAATTCAGGAAGCATGTTTCATCCCATTTGGGACTCGCCAACTGGATGTACCTGCATCCCAGAGTTGATGTTCACTCCACCACTCGAACCTAGTACAGTTCACTTCAAACACTATCGCGTTATCCCCTTAGCTACTGAGTCATGATAGCCACTTGCTTGTGTAATCGGATGAAGTTTAAACTTACTTGTTATTGTTTACTTAAAACTTCCCAGTGATGTTAGCCACTATCCATCTTTGTTTAGAATACTTGTGAATTAAGGCAATATCGAGGCGATTCGTACAGGATGCACATATACCAATAAGAGATTGATCAATTGTGGTCCTAAACAACAATGAGAAGATCCAAGTAAACAATACCAAGTGAATTCATGTTCACTTCTCATCTTTTATACCTTCAAAATATTCAGCAAATTTCATACACAGAAAACAATTAATGATTAAAATAATTCGATAGGGATATTCAAGTGAAAATGATTAGAATATACTTTAATGAACGCGAACTCAGGTGTGGACAAACAAATTGTTTTCTAATGTACAGTCACATAGTGGTTTAGTAACGTGAAAATCATACATCAAATACATCATTTACACATCTTTCAATTGCTCCTTACATCCATTATGATTCTTCCAATCCTGTTTTTATTCCAATTCTTTTCTATTCTCTCCAATTCCATCTTCTCAATTCTCTTTTGACATATTACATACTACTTACATCTGTCAACATAAATACTATACACCACAATACTACTAGAATGTTTTCAGTAACTTGAAATTGTGAAGTCCTAGAAAACTGGGTTTGTTTTTTATTGGCCGAGAATAATAAACTCTACATGATGGAACTATCACATTGTGTAGTGTATTTTTTAAAAAATGTTTATTTTCACTGAAATAATTCAGCCATAGTCAATATTGAAGATTATACATGAAAATCGAGAAATTTCCTACTTTCATTCTTTTTCTTCTTCTTCTTCTCCATTTTAAAGGTTAAGCTTTCAAATGATATTTCAATAAAATGAAAGAATTCAAGGAAATATAGAACATTTTTTTCACTTTCACATGATCAATCTATTAAGTTTATATATAGACACTATTCTATTAGGATTGTTATTCAATATGAAAAAGTATTCATTTTGTTAATCTTTTCATACTACTTAAATATCCTATAGGATTAATTCTGTTTTTTTCATCCATGTATTAAATAAAATGGCAAAAATGAAAACGTACATTAATTTTGCATAAAATAAAGCAAAAACATTTGACAATATAAATAATAATAATAATAATAATAGTAAGAGGTAACAACCATGACAACGTATATCATGAGGGGAAAGTAATTTAATTTTTTGGTTTGTAGTACTTTTCAGATAGTGGAGAATACTTATAAATCAATAATGTTGTTTTTTCTTTCAACTGAATTGATTTTTATTGTAAAGCTTTCATTATCTATTAGACAATATTATCAAAATGCATATTTCGAAAGGAAATAAGTTATTTGAATTTCACTGATTGGAATCATGAGTCAATTGAAGTTAGACCACCATGGAAAACCTGGAAGCATTGGACGGCCGTCTCGTCCCAGTATGGAACTTCTCAGCAGTGCGCATCCACCATCCCGTACTCCCCGACATTCAAACCCACGACCTATCAGTCTCGCACCAGGAGCTTAACCAACTAGACCACTGAGCTGGCCGGCATCCAACGGTGTTAATGTCTAACTTCAACCAATCCACGAAGTTGCGCCACAGTACATCATTGTCTTCAGTGAGTTAATATCTCACAACAGACCTGATTGAACTCCACTGGTAACGGCTTCTCACTAGAACTCCAGGAGTATCTCTTGAAATCAGTCACTAGTGAGCAGATGATTATTATCAGAAGGGGTTTCGTGGAGATTTTAGAAATTTCACAGATTGAAATCATGAGTAGCCGTTACCGGTGGAGTTCAATCAGGTCTGTTGTGAGATATCAACTCACTGAAGACAATGATGTACGGTGGCGCAACTTCGTGGATTGGTTGAAGTTAGACATTAACACCATTGGATGCCGGCCAGCTCAGCGGTCTAGTTGGTTAAGCTCCTGGCGCGAGACTGATAGGTCGTGGGTTTTAAATGTCGGGGAGTACGGGATGGTGGATGCGCACTGCTGAGGAGTCCCATACTGGGACGAGACGGCCGTCCAATGCTTCCAGGTTTTCTATGGTAATCTAGCTTCAATTGACTCGTGATTTCAATCTGCGAAATTTATAAAATCTCCACAAACCCCTTCTGGTGAGAAAAATGTATTACCATGATTTCATTCACATAGATTTAAACGGAAATGCTTGATGGTAATTATTATTTATTTATTTATTTGGACACATGAATATTGGTACAAGAGAGCGCCAATATATATGCGCCACACAAAACAATGAAAATTCGAGAGGAATACAAAGAAAGAAAAAAAAAGCTAAGGAGCGCAACAAAAAAAAAGAGAGAACAATAACGAAGAGATTGGTGTAAGGTAATGTGCTAGTAATCAGGGAACGCAAAGGTACAATCGGAAGAAATCTTTCAGGTAAGGGAGACAGAACCACTTTTTATGAAGAAAGTAAAAGAAGGTTACAGCAGGATCCCCACTGGCTTCTATTCTGAGCCATATCTGATAACGTCTCTAGCCACTGTGTAGCACCATCTCTCAGACCCCAACCAGGGAGTCGTGAAGGACCAACACAAGCCAGTCCTTTGCAGCTTTATTTCATGCCACGACACCATGTCATGCACTGACCACCTCTCCGCTTCTTCCAACCAGTCCCAGAGTCGGCAAATAATGCACGACGTGGAATTCTCTGGGACGACATTCGGAGAACATGTCCAAGCCACCGAAGTCGGTGTTTCAAGATGGTGACACCAATTGAATTATCATCTCTGTGCCCGAACACACGATGCCGAACCTCTGCATTACTGACATGGTGTTGCCA